CTTTAGCTTTGATCTCTGAAGCTCCTTTAGTTGAAACTTCTACTCCTTTTGTTTCTTCTCCACCTCCCGTTGTCATTACGGAGATGGACTCTTCTGAGGACATTCCAGAATCTGCTCTCTCAGATTTTGATGAGTCCCTGGCACTCCTAACTAAGTCTTTTAGGAAGTTTGCCAACAAGAGTAAATTCCGCAAGTCCCCTCAGCTGTCCCTAAGGGAAAAGCCAAAGTCTGAAAGAATAGACAAGGCTTCAGCTGTCTGCTATAACTGTCACCGAACAGGTTATTTTGCAGGTGAATGCAGATCTAAGAGGACTGTGACGCCATCTTCCAAAGCTACTTCATCCTCCAGGACTATAGATGAGAAATATTCCAGACTGAAGGATAAGTACAAAAAGATGAAGAAGACCAACAAAAGTCCAAAGGTCTTGTTGCTGAAGAGCATGATTGGGCTGAATCATCTGAAGAATCATTTTCTGATGAAGAGGATAAAGCCTATGTCTGCCTGATGGCCATAAATGCTGACGAAGGAACTTCTGAAGCATCCACCTCCTCAGATACATCTTCTTTCTCTACTCAGGTATGTCTCCTGAATGAATCTTTTTCCTCTAGTCTTTCTGCACTGGATACTCTGACGGTTGACCTTTACAATGCCCTTAATGGCAAATCTAAAGCTGAGTTGCTTAATATTGATCTTCAAGAGAGAAAACACTGCTTTGATACCACTTGTTGGTCCCAAAAGGGTCTACAAGAATACTAAACAGTTTGTAGAAGGGGGGATGAATACAAACACAACGTTTTCAAATTTAAAATATATATTGATAAAGAAGATCAATACAGATTTTACAAGATTGTTTGCGGAAAGATAAGGTAAGAGAAAACCTATCTAAACAATCTTAAGATACACACAAAGGTTAGCAATTACAAGAAAAGAGATTGCTAAAAGAAAGTCTTTTACTTTAAACTGAAAGAAGCTTGAAGTAAGAATAAGGGAGGAGAGTGATGCGCGCACTCTGCATGGAGAAGAAACACATCTATAAATACCCAGTGCATTAAATGATCATTTAATGCAGTATGGTAGGGTATAGAGTGCGTGTCAAGCCTTAAGAGGAAGGCTTGTCCTTTGCTACAGTAAATAGTTCAAAAGCACTATTTATGAACAGACATCCTTACCTAAAGATGGTGGACAAAGGGTCGACTAATCGGCTCCGTACCGTACTATCTTTGGTAAGGGTATGGGTTTGTCCTTTTGTGTGTGCAAGGACAAAACAACAACAATCATGCTAAGCAAGCTTCCTATGATCGCTGAATGCTGGGATGACCTGAAGGTCTCATCATCATTCGCTGAAGCTAGAGCAGTCTTCACTCATAGCTAGACAGACTTGTAATCACTGAATACCGCTTCAGATCACGTACGCGCCAGTCTCTAATCTTCAGTTTCAGTCTTCGACGTTTGCTGAAGGATCTTTTGTGTGAGTGTTATTTTCTTGAAGTATCGTTGTCTCTGAATGATTTACAAAGCGAGTTCTTMAGCGATCACTGAACATGCTCAGTGTATTGATCGCTGGAACTGAAAATACAGAAACTAAAATACATCGAAAGGAAAAAGGGATTATCATCAAATTAATGAGAGAGAGGATCAACATGTAGTGACGGAGATCTCCATGCATACACACGTTAAAGAAACAATGTTCTTTTTATGAAATCCGTTCGGATTGGGATTTGAAATGCCAACTCTCTCCTAAGGATTTCCAAATCCATCAAATAAGGTATTTCAAATCCAGACAATACTACAAACCAAACACGGGATCGGAATACGTTTGAAATATGAATTTTGAAGTCTTATTTCACTTCTAATTGATAAAAAATAGTGCTTAAGTCTGAAATATGAATCAATAAGATTGTTTGTTTTTGTAAACTGATAAATGTCTGAATTTGTTTACATTGTCTATTTTATCCATTAGAAAATTATATTCTTGAACTTAGAGATAAATTTGTATAGTTTCACATATTTATTCATTATCATTACGAAATTTATATCTAAATTATATAATTAACATTCATTTAAACAGAAATACGTCATTAGCGGTATTTAACACATTTAAATCCTTTTAAAATACATCAATGGAGAAAGACCGTGATTGTTTTGGTAAAAGATCAGTTGAGAAAAAATCAATCGATTAAGGTTAATCGATTGAGAAACATTGTTGCTGAGGGTGTAGAGAACAATAAGAGGCTACTTACCCGATAATAGAACAATAAGATATAAATGTCTCTAAAAAATAAAAATAAAAAACAGTTTGGATTGACATATCTTAAAACGAATCAGATAAAAGAGACTAATAATAGTTTTGTTTAAAAAAAATAACAGTGTACCACATAAACAGATTTTTACGAGTTACAGATGCGACATCGGTGAATTAAAATTAGAAATATCGTACTTATTGTAATGCAATGCACGTTGTTTGAAATAAAATCAAATTTAAAAAAAAATAGTTTTAAATATGTTCATAAACAAAGTTGATTCAATAAACGAAAGGAGTTGAGATCTAAACCAGAGTACCCTACTAGATTGGCCTCCATTCTCAGCAAAACAGCAATGTTGGCCTTCCTTTGCCTTATCCTCCACCTGTTGACGGCCTACGCTTCCGTTTCTAATGGAAAACACATAATCCTACTCGCCGGACAAAGCAATATGTCCGGCCGAGGTGGCGTCCGAAACAACACCTGGGACGGCGTCGTTCCTCTTCAATCCCAACCCCATCCCTCAATCCTCCGACTCACCGCCGGTCTCACTTGGGTCAAGGCTCGTGACCCTCTCCACAAAGACATTGATGTCAACGTAACTTGTGGTGTAGGTCCTGGGATGTCGTTTGCTAACAGGGTATTGGAGATCCATCCGCAGTTGGGTCCAATCGGTTTGGTTCCATGTGCGATTGGTGGTCCACTAGGGACCAAAATCACCCAGTGGAAAAAAGGGGGTTTTCTCTACAACCAGCTTCTGACCAGAGCCACGGCGGCTAGGACCGGCGGTGGGTCGATTCTGGCGGTTTTATGGTTTCAAGGAGAGAGTGACACCGTGAATGAAGTGGATGCGAATATGTATAAACGAAGGTTAGCCAATTTGTTCAATAACCTGCGTGCTGATCTTGGATCTCCATTGCTCCCTATAGTTCAGGTAAGTATTTGTATTCATCTGTCAGAAACCCAAATCGAAAGTTTCCGACTGTAATGGTGCTATTATGTGGGCGCAGGTGGCTATAGCTTCAGGGCAAGGATCTTTTGTGGAAACTGTGAGAAAAGCACAGCTGGAAACGAAGCTACGGAAAGTGAGTTGTGTGGATGCTAAGGGGTTGCCATTGCTAGCAGATAATCTGCACCTTAGCACCCCGGCTCAGGTGCGTCTTGGTGGAATGTTAGCCGATGCGCTCTTCAGGCTAAGAAAGTAATATCTCAATTGCTTTCACACCATTGCCAATTTGCCAGTTGCCACGTATGTTTTTTTTGTTATTACTTTATTTGAGTATTTGGGTCAAGTGTATTAACTAATGGAATTGAAACCTCAAAATGAATAATATCAACGTAATACCCATCATTTTTAAAGCATCTCCGATTGTTATTTATAATTACTATAAAATGGAGAAAAATGTCAAAACTATTAATTTTTTTTTTTTGGAAATCGATCAAAATAATCATTTTCCTTACATAAATTGGTTTGTTAGCCATTTTTTTTTTCTGATTTATCTAAATATCACTATGTCCACAAGTCCTACGTCTGTTCTTTACAGACCCAACTTAAAGATTATTTTTTTATCATATTAGACTCAGGTCCGCAATTACAACGACTAGATGGCCTAGTTCTTGACATTAGTAGCAACGGTCTTGATCCACCTTATATTTGTTGCTTCATGTCCTTGTTTCCCACAAGCATAAAAAACTTTTTGTCCCCATGGATATCTCCTTTATGTTTTTATTTTATTGAATCTTATACACAATTATGTTTTTCTTATATCTTCCCATTGTCTTGAGCTTTATCGCTTTTACTCTAATCTCTTTCGATACGTTTGATATATTGGACAAGACATAATAGAACATGGATCCTAGTTTTATGTTTGACAGAACTTTTATCTGGAACAAACAGAAACAAAGTTGAACAAGTCTGTTCCACCCCTACCCCATAGAACAAGATAGAACAGATTTATATTTTACCAATATAAGCTCAACATAAAATTTAATTCTCTTTTTAAACATCAAATAAGTATTCTTTATACATTTTTAAAATTTTCTTTATTTTCTTTTATGTTTTTTAAACTTCATTTTACTGTCTTAAACTATTATTATTATGTAGTTTTATATTTTGATTAATTTATGTAATTTTTATATATTAATAATAATAATAAAATGTAGAAAAGGGATGATATAAAATTGGAAACTACATAAACCTTTTATCTTTGTGTCATTTTAATTGTTTTGACGAAAATCTTCTAATGACATAGTTTGTTATAAAAAAAACAATTATTTTATTATAATTTAATAATTTACATAAATTAATAAAAATATATAAACAATTTTGGGCAAAATTGGTAGTTTACTTGTTTCTGTTCAATTTTGTACTACTAAACGTTGAACAATTGTTCTATCATATTCTATCCGGACACCAAACACAACATTTTAGATCTGATCTTCACCTTCCAACTTTATCTAAATCATTGTCTTTCTTGAACGTCTACTGCTTGAAAAGAAGGTAGGTTCATAGTAAAACTATTTAATATTAAAAGTATGTTTGTATAATATAGCAAGATAGATCTCAATTTTAATGTTTCGTTTTATTATTTATCTATGTCAATGTAATACGGTTTTTAGTGGTTTTGAAAAAGCGATAATGTTTTTATTTTTGAATTAAATATATCATAAAAATTTAGAAAAAAATAATAATATTGATATTAATATCAAATTTATTATTTAATGTTATGGTTTTTTGTGTAATTTCTAAAATTCAATATTAATTTAATTTACATTTAATAATGAAGTAATTTATTTATCATTTAATAATATATTTTTTATAAAGATAATAGTTAAGTATTTTGTTATAATTAATGATTATTCTAATTATATTTTAGATCTTTTATATTCAAAATGATATATCTATCTCATATTTGATTATCTTTATCTATATTTAGTTATACAAATTAAAAAAATGAAGCTTTAATAAGTTATATTTACGCACAATTTACTTGTGATCTTGAATTTTAGGTAATATGCATCAATAAACAATATTTTATACATAAAAAATGGTTTTTAAGAATTTGTCAAATGTTTCATAGTACAGTATAGATATTGAAAAGTGAATAACTATATTCAGTAAATTGAACCAATAAATCAAAATGAAAATATTTGGTATTAGTATTTTTTATTTTAATTGATAACTGAAAGAAATATTTTAGAAAACAATAATCTATACTATATTATAAAGCATTTGAAAAAAACTCTTAAAAATCATTTTTTATACATAAAGTATTGTCGATACATATTACTTAAAATGCAAGATTACAAGTAAATAATCTATAATTACAATTTATTAAAGTTCCATGCTTGAATTCGTGTAATTAACTGCAGATAAACATAATAAAATACTGGATAAACGTTTCATTTTAAATACAAAAAATATAATTAGGATAAATATTGTATTTTAACATAATACTTAATTATTATCTTTATAAAAAATTATATTATTAAATCAAAAATAAATTACTTCATTATTGACTTTAAATTAAATAATAAAAAAATTTGAATTGAAAAATTATACAATAAAACAAGAACTTTTAAATAATTAATTTGATACTAATATCGCTATTTAAAAAAAATTCTAAGATATCTTCAAATTCATATTTTATTCAAAAATAAAAACATTATCGTTTTTTTCAAAACCACATAAAATCGTATTATGACATCGACAGGGGACAAAATAAAATGAAATATTAAAATCAAGATTTATCTCGATGCATTGTGTGAGTACATTTCTAATATTATTTAATGGGTAAATTATATTAAAACTAAAACAAATTTAGATATATATTTTTTTTTCCGAAAACCAATTTTTTTTTATTCAAAACTTTCTTTTTGAGGACTAAATTTTATAAATAATAAAGTATTTAGATAGCCTCCTTAACATATAACCGGTTGATTTTACCGACTTAAGAAATGGACATTTCTTTTTTACGGATGATTTTGTAAAAGCAAACGAATGCGAAAGGGATTGAATCCCACACCTTTATCATATAATTCAAACACCCAATTGTTTTTGTTTACATAAGATTATAATATATCAACTGCCGGTTAGTTTTATCAGTAATTAGCTAACTATCAGCCAATTTGTCAGATAAAACTTAATTTTCATTTAATTTCGTGGAAGTCTTACATGTTGACCAAAATAGCAAAAACGTGTCCGGCTGATACGAAAAAAAAACATGAAAATAATTGTTTGATGTGAAGGGACAATAAGTAAAACATGAATGTAGTACCGTCTAATTTAACAATGTCTTTAAAAACTTGAGATCTTTTTAGAGTTGTACAACTCCTTTATAAAGAAAGCCGATTAAAGAGAGTTAAAGTTCGGGAAATTATTATTTTTAGAAGATTTGTTATAACGAATAACATAATGATTTCAAGGGCCTTTTAGCTGAAATTAAGCCATAATATATTTTATAAACCTGTTTTTAAATCGAGATTGTAAAAAGAAAGAAGGTAACACCTCTTTTTTATTTTATGTATTTGTAACAAATTACAAAAATCCAATGAAATTTTTTATTCTTTATTTTCCCAAAAAAGCAATTAAATTATGGTATTGAAATGAATATTTTTATATTATAAAAATTGATAAGAATTTTTTAATTTAAGGAAATATCAAAATTTATATATAATTTTTAGTTTTTTTTTTTGTTTTCTAGAGATAATAAATAAATATTGGTTTTTTACTGTCTCGATTTTTTGATGTTTACTGTTATAAATGGTAGCATAAACGGTAGCATAAACCTCGATTAGGTTGATGTTTGCTTTACGATTATGTTGTTGTTTGCTGTTTTATAGTTGTTGTTGATGGATTTGTTGTTTGTTGTTTTTGTATTTGCTGTTTTATAGTTGTTGTATTTGCTGTTTTAGTTAGCATAAACCTCGATTAGGTTGCTGTATTTGCTGTTTTATAGTTGCTGTTGATGCTGTTTGAATTTATCCAGGGGTAAATTGGTCATTTCTGTTATTCAAACTGTTGATTCAGATAGAAAAGCAAACAACAACATAAATTTATCAAGACAGACAAATTTATCCATACATGACTTACTAAAAAACTTAGTTAACAACTCTTTAAAATTGGATATGGAAATATATTTGTTTATAGAATATTTGTATTTAAAAAGGTGCCACCAAACACGTTTTGATTTATACATCAAACAAACATCCTTCTCTTATTTCCATTAAAATTTACAAAAATGTACTTCTTGGCAAATACTCACACATCCATAGTTGGTAGGGCTTGACTGATGCATGAAATTGGGACATCTGCGATGGTCTCATTTTCAAAATTGCTTTTTAATTCTTCTATTGACAATGTGGCATAATATTAATATAAAAATGAACTAAATATGTGTAACTTGATCACATGGTTAGATTCTTTAATACCAAATATATTTTCTTCATGATGATATCACTTCCATCTCATTGGTCTACTTTCTTTTAATTAATTATTTATATCTATACTACTTTATAAACCAAATTTGAGAAAAGTCTTAAAAACATCATTGAATGCAAGGTACTACTTTTTATGCACAAAGTCTTAATCTATATCTATATCTATATCTATATCTATATCTATACTACCTTATAAACCATATTTATCAAAAGTGTTAAAAATAATTTTTAATGCACAAAGTACTATACATTTATGCACGAATTCTTAAAAGTCTTAAAAACAACTCATAAATGCATTAAGTACTACTACTTTATGTATTCAGTCTTAAAATATCTTAATATACAATTAAAATAACATAATGTATACTTTTAACACATTTCACTGTTTTCACTCTCTCATACTTCTATGTCTTCTCCTCATCCCCCAATGTGAGATTTAAACTGATATTCACCATAATTTATTAAAAGTTCTCTCATTTATCTCTCATTCAATTGCTTTAGAACTCTTTGTCTCGCTCTCGATCTCTCGATTCTTTGCTCTTGGTGTAAATCGAACACATTTGTGGAGTCGTTTAAATATGTTAAATTTTAAATATATTGGATTTTAAACTGTCATACAATTTTTTTCATTGATAGACTGTAATTGGAACCATAACTCTTATCTATTCAAATTGTATCAATATGTAAAGACCAAGTGTAACTTATATCATCGTTAAATCTTCTCTAATAAAACCAGTGAAACTTCAAAATCATTAAAATTCACGGCTCCCGCCGCATTGTGCGGGTACACAACTAGTAACAAACGATAAGAATTTTTTAAATTTAAGGAAATATCAAAATTTATATATATTATTAGTCTTTTTTTTTTCGTTTTCTAGAGATAATATATAAATATTGTTTTTTTATCTTAAAGAAATTATATAATTAAAGATTTTTATTTTCAAGAAATTATAATATAGTTTTCTGAATTTAAATAACAAGTGAAAACATGGACGCAACGTACTTAAAATTAGATATGGAAATATATCTGTTTATAGAATATTTGTATTTAAAAAGGTACCACCAAACACGTTTTGATTTATATATCAAACAAACATTGTTGTCTTATTTCGATTAGAAAAAGCATAAACTAAACCATTAGAGTGGTGTCTGATTGATTTGAATTTGTCTGCAAAGGTCAAAAGTATCATGAGGTTGCAGGTTCAAATCTAAGGAGAAATAAAAATCTCCTTGTGACCACGGATGTTCAAATGCGGTGACTCCGAACTATCTGCAAAGCAGATAGTCGTCCTAAAATTAGTCGGCTCGCATAGTATGTTGGATATCCAGGTTAATAAAAAATTGTATAAACTAAAACGAAAATCCAATATTTTCAAATTTCTAATCACAAAATACAGTCATTTTTTTACCTTTTTTTAATTAAATTAAAAATTAACATTTCTAATTTTCATCAATTATTTATCCATCATTTGTAACCTTGTTTTTTTTTTTCTCATTAAGAACATCAAATGAAAACATTTGATTTTAATTATATATTAAGTTTAATCATAAAGATGATGTCTGATTAGTTTGAGTTTAGGTTTCAAAGGTCAAAACTATCTGGAGGTGTTATGTTTAAATCTATGGAGGTTTAAATATGGTGACTTCGTGCCACCCACAAAACAGGTAGTCGTCTTGACATCAGTTGGTTCACATAGCAAGTTATATTCGAAATTAATAAAAAAAATTATATATGAAATAAATTAATATGCTTATTTCGTGTTGAACTAAAATTTCGTTAAAAATACCCATCAAATACTTGATTCTTAGGGAAAGGCTATAATCACAAGATTAGAAAAATTGGTTTTAGAAATAAAAAACGAACATATGGGCCCATTAATCTTCTTTTATCTTCAATTTCTTCTCCAAGATTTCCACATTTCATGGCGAATAACGGCCTTAAGCTGACCTTCTTCTTCGTATTCATCATATCATACGAATATTGGGTGAATCATGTGAACGTCGTCGATTCTTCTGCTGCTTCCGACCATCTTGTAAAAGATGTTTTCATACTCGCCGGTCAAAGCAACATGGCCGGAAGGGGCGGGGTGATTGACGGCTACTGGGACGGACTAATCCCGCCGGAAGTCCAAACCAGGCCCGGAAAGATTCTACGATTGGGTGGTGATCTGAGTTGGGAAGATGCGACGGAACCGCTTCATTCAGATATTGACGTCAACAAGACTTGTGGAGTTGGGCCAGGGATGGCGTTTGCGAACGCGGTTTGGAGAGGTGATCCACGGCGGGATAGGGCGGTGGGATTGGTGCCATGTGCCATCGGAGGGAGTGGTATTCAAGAATGGTCCCGTGGCGGTAGACTTTATAATGGGTTGGTAAGGAGGGCCGCCGTGGCGGTGGAAGGCGGTGGAGAGATTCGGGCGGTGTTGTGGTTTCAAGGGGAGAGGGATACAGTTAACAGAAGTGATGCTGAATCGTACAAGGAGAAATTGCAGAGATTATTCATGGATTTAAGAGCTGATCTCAAGTCTCCTTTGCTTCCCGTAATCCAGGTATCTCGCCGGAGCTTTTTCTAGATTGCTTTCTTTTGGTGCCGGTCAACTCGTTGGTCAATGGTTCCTGGATCGGGTCGAATCATAAACCGAACCGGATTAAAATTGGCCAACTTGTTTGAATTTAAAGTCAAATGATGCTTATTTCCACTTGGTAAGCTCATATTATGACCCCTTGGAAAATGGAGACCAATAATGGTGTCTTTGACCTTTAATCTATTTCTTCAAGAATGCGATTAAATAAATAGGTATAGAAGTCATTGTAATTATATACGTATTTTGTTTTAAATTAAATGATTATATTTATTAAATAGATACATAGAATTTCATAATCACGTTGAACTCAGATAAATAAACTGTAGATGTCTTGGTTTAAAATTACAGGTTGCTCTAGCCTCGGGTGAAGGAGCTTATGTAGAAATGGTAAGAGAAGCTCAACATGGAATCGAGCTTCCAAATGTAATAACAGTAGATGCAAAGGGACTTGAACTTCAACCAGATGGGCTTCATCTTAGTACTCATGCCCAAGTGCGGGTTGGGGAGATGTTGGCTCATGCTATTTTACAATCCAATTGTTTTTTATAGGCTCACGGTGTAATATTGTTATTGTTATATAAAACTTTGTATACGTGAATACTTTGTCTTTTCCTAAAAACTTGTATAAAATATTATATTAAAAGCAACAAATACTATATATTACAGATTTGGTCCCTTAGGTTTGTCATTTGTTACAAAGTTAGTCATTTATCTTTATATATTACAAAAGAACCCTCCACTTATGTAATTTGTATCGGATTTGGTCCCTTACCCTAGCGTCCATCTTCTATTTCCGTTAAGCATAAGAGTAAGATTGTAATTTGACACCCCTTTTTATTTTAACATTCTTTTTGACAGTCTTTGTAAAGCTGGGGCCAAAATTTGGTCATTTTTTAGACCAATTAGATGGAGTCACGTGTTTGCCTATTTTATCTTCTCCAACATCTCCACTTTCTAGCATGAAACTTTTCAGACAAGAAACTTTTTAGGCGTCAAATCTTTGGTGCCCTCATACCCACCTTGATCTACATGGCCTTAATCCCATTCACATGTAATCCTGAAACCATACTTCACTAGAACACCCCTATTTCAGATATGGTTCGTCTTAAACGGTCTGAGATCTCAAGTTCGGCTTCTGACGACAGTTAACCTCCATCTCAACTTCTGGTTTCTCATACGTTAACTATCTTCGATGAAACATACACCATGAAGTGATGACCTCCCACTTTCTGTTCCCTCCCGCACCGACCATCCCTCTCCATCACCACTGTTGTTACACATCTTCCAAACAACACACAATAAAACATTTAAGATTTGTTCAATAGACATCCAATTGATTCAGATATGTTACACCTCGAAGAAAGCATCTAATTTGTTCTTGAGCAAATTATTATAAAAATTCCAAGAAACAAAACCTAACAACAAAAGCAAAATTGAATTAATCGTTTCCAAATTTGGAGGAGGAAATTAAAGAGTATCAAAGGTTTGAGATCTTGGTTCGAAAAGATGAACATGTTTTGAGAACTTCTGTCATGGATGGGATTTGGTTCCATTTTCATGAAGCAATATCACCCAACGATCTCAGGGAAGGTTTTTTGAAAACCCAACAAAATCAAGGATGGTCCAACGGATTTAGGATTGAGAGGGGGACAGAGGGACAAAAAGAGATAGAGGGGTCTGCGTGTGGTGCGATGGTGGCTATGGTAGATAAGGTTTCACGCCGGTAAGAAATTCAGGGAAGGGTAAAGGTTTAGAGGAGACGACCTGTTCTGGTCATGATTATATCTCGACCTCTAAACCCCCTTCTATAAACTGTTACCTTTAAAACTCTTGTAGATCCGTTTGGGACCAACAAGTGGTATTAGAGCGGTGCTTATTTTCTCTTTCTTAAAAATAATCTTCTTACCATTTATTTTTAATGGCATTGCAGAACACGAACACAAACTATCACGATGATGACTCTTTTGCCAAACCCCGCAGATTTAGCAGGGACAAGTTCAGTCTCTGAAAAAATCATAATATCCTTATTTCTAGAAAGCGTGGATCCTGAGACCCCTTATTATTTTGAAAATGGACCATATGTTCCATTTGCAATATCTCCAACAGTTCCTGTCACCGCTATCACTGTTGTCATCCCTGAAAGGCATATGTCAAAGCTCCCTCACCAATGGAGCGATGAAGACAAGAAGAAAATGAGTCTTGATATAAAAGCTAATTCTATCATAGACATGTCACTTCTTGATGAGGTATATCACTCTGTCATGAAGCTTAAGACCTCTAAAATCTATGGGGGACACACTGTGTGTTCAATATGAAGGTACCACTGAGGTACAAGAAACTAGAAAGATAAACTTGACGTGACAATATGAAAGTTTCATTTGTAGCAAAAAAATCTTTATCTGAAGTACAACATCGCTTTAACTACCTACTCATTGACCTCAGGACCATTGAAAGAGAATATTGTAACTCTGGGACATTGACAAATTCTTGGAAATAATGCCAGAATCATTTGACAGTTACACCATATGTCTCAAAATGTCAAACGACATGTATATTCTCTCTCTCAGCACTTTATATGGGATTTTGCTCAATCATGAACAATCTCGTCAGTTGAAGAAGAATCTCATAAGAGATTCAAAAGAGTTAAAAAGCTCTTATGTAACTTTACTCTCTAAAACTCTTTCAGCGACAACTCCCACTCTCACAAACACTGAGTTATACCCATCCAACTCTAAGGACTTAACAAACGTTGATCTTTCCGAGTTTGATGAGTCACTAGCTCTTCTTACAAATTTCTTTAGAAGATTCACAAGAAAAAGTAAGTTTCTTAGACCTACTATATTAACTATCGCTGACAAGCCAACATCAACTCCGATTGATCAGGCTTCAGCGATCTGCTTTAACTGTGAACGTAAAGGACAATTTGAAAGTGAGTGCAGGTCTAAGAAAGCTATGAAGCCATCTTCCACCTCATCCTCCTTCAAATCAAAAGACGATAAATATCTAAAGTTGAAGAAGAAATACAAGAAGATGAAAAACAACCAGTGTTAAAGGAAAGGGTCTTATTGCTGAAAAACATGATTGAGTTGATTCATCAGATGAATGCTCTTCAGATTAGGAAGAAACAACTTATCTCTGTCTTATGGTCAATATCATAGAATTCAAGGATGAACTATCTGAGACCTCGTCCTTAAATGATTCTTCAACCTCATGTCAGGTATTAAATTTGTATGATCTTTCTATCTTAGTACTGATAGTCTCTCAACATTAGATACGTTGATTGTGGAACTTTACAATGCACTGAATGACAAATCCAAAGCTGAAAAGTTAAATCATAATTTACAAGAACAACTTGAAAAATGCCATTCAAAAATCAAAGATTTTACTAAGATTGAAGAAAATCTTAAAAATCAAGTCATTGTAAACCAAGCAATCCACAATGAACCGGAGCAAGCTATCACTGAGATCAAAGCAGAAAAGGATTAATGAGGTAAGTATGTTTCTCATTGTGGTTCAACTTCATTTTTCATGGTGTATATCATGCTAGTTGAAGGATGGTATAAAGCCACGATTAAGGCTAATGAGATCATAAACGCTCAAATACCCTCTAAGGTCAAGAGTGGTCTTGGATATTCTTCAGACTAGGAAGAACATGTTAGTGACAAATCTATGTTAAAATTTGGATCTTTTGTCTCCTCTATCTCTGACACTTCTTTTACTCAGTGTTCTTTCATATTTGATCTAAACCTATCCTTAAGAAAACTCCTAAGAGATCAAAATGTTTAGACAAAGGTAAATTCATTGCTAACATTCCTCAAAAGGCCAAGAAAAACCAAAAGCTGAAGAAGGTTTTCTTTAAGCCTTCAACTTGCCAGCCTTCAAATTCTGGTAAAAAAGATCTCTAGACTTATTCATAGATCTACCCCAAAGCTGAAAGTTGATCTTATTCCTAAGAAACCTGAGAAACTTGTTGTTCCTCCCAGGACTTCTGAAAAAGGTATTCTTGGACTAGGTCCTTGTCACCTTAAGCTTTCTAACTCTTATACTTCTAGCCTTATAGGCTCTTTCCGCTATAGGAAATGATATCACTATGGTGAAAATACTCATGTAGCTAGCAAGTCCCCAGTAGCTACTAAAGTTGAGAAATCAGCTAGGATAAAGAAAACCACCACAACTGAAACACCAGCAAAGGTGAAAACCACAAAAGTTAGTAAACCAACTAAAATGAAGAGAACCACTAAAGCTGAGCCATCAAACTTGATGAAGAATTTTGAAATCTTCACAACCACTAACTCAGCTGGACCTATTGTAAAATGGGTACGAAAGCTAAAATCACTTCCTTTATATTGTGGGGAGTTAAGGGCATCTAGTATCTTGATAATGATTGCTCAAGACATATTACTATACTAAGTCCCTGCCATCTGAGTACAAGGAAGAAAAAGGTCATTCAGTGACCTTTGGTAGAGATGGAAAAGGATACACCAAAGGTTTTGGTGTGTTAACCAATGGAATAACCATGTTTAGATGAGTTGCTTACGTTGAAGGACTGAAGCATAGTCTTCCTAGGATAAGTGAAATATGTGATAAAGACTTTATGGGGAAATTCTCAAAGAAGACATGTTCCATCATTGACAAGGATGAAAAACTTGCATTAACTGGCACTCCCTTAGATAACTTCTATGTCATCAACATAGATTCTCCTCTCACTGAGAATATGTGCTTTATTTCTAAAGCTTCCTCAGATGTCAACTGACTATGGCATAAGAGGCTCTCTCATCTAAATTTCAAGACACTAAATGACCTGTCTAGAAGAGAACTAGTTACTGGCCTTCCTCAACACTCCTTTGCAAAGGTATCTCTTTGCTTAACATGAGAAAAAGGAAAGCAAAGGGTAGCTTCAACTCAAAACAGGTATCTTCGGTGATCACTCCCCTCCAACTACTTCATATGGCTTTGTTTGGCCCTGTCAACATTCAATTTATCATTGGAAAGAAATATACTTTAGTTATTGTTGATGAGTTCTATAGGTATACTTGGGTATTCTTTCTCAGATCCAAGAGTGATGCACCTGAAAAAGTTATTTCCTTTGTAAGAAAAATGGAAGTACTAAACAACCTCACTGTCCATTCAATAAGAAGTGATTATGGTATTGAATTCAAAAATAGTAGTATGGAAGATTTCTTTGAGAAAAAGGGAATCTCTCACAATTTCTCAGTTGTGAGAACTCCTCAGCAGAACGAAGTCGCTGAAAGAAGAAATCGAATAATCATTGAAGCTGCTTGATCTATGCTCAAGGAATATCATCTTCCTATTCAATTTTGGGTTGAAGCTATCAACACTGCATATCTTACTCAAAATCGATCGCTGATCGTCAAGCGTTTCAAGAAGACAACTTATGAGCTTTTCCATGGAAGAAACCACTCTCGGTTTTCTTCACATCTTTGGTTGTAAATGCTACATCCTAAAAACCAAAGATAATATTGGAAAGTTTGATCCTAAAACTGAAAATGACATATTTCTTGGTATTCTTCAAAATCCAAGGCCTTTAGAGTATTCAACAAAAAAGACAAACCATGGAGGAAACCATTCATGTTACTTTTGATGAATCATGTTTAACGAACTCTAAACCCATCTATGATGATGAAGAAG